GACGAACAGTAAATTTATTTGATCGGTATTTGGCCGATTCACCTATTCTCACGGAGCCGTCCAAGATGATCGGTTTTTCGCCGCCGTATGCAATTTCCAGGTCAAAAGCGACCGAATTTTTCGACTCGGGTACGATGTAATTTTGGTTCATTTGGATTGAATGATCCCTAATAATTTCTTTTTTGATGCAAAAAATTAGAAGGTCATGAGGACGAAAGGAAGTGAAATTTTACCGAACGCGTTCGTTAAAAAATCATTCTCCGTCACAGGAAAATTATCCACAATATTGAGCAATCATTCACGTTCTCTGGGGTAATTTTTGATGGAATGCAGGGTGAATTTTCCAGTTTCGACACAAATTACCCTCGCGTTCAATAAACTTTCCCGGGCCAAAGGACAAAAATTCACTATTCGTCTCGCACTTTTTCCCCAATAAAGAGTGAAAAAGCACAGAAAATCTAGGTCGCTCCACGATTACTTAACTCGTTCACCAATTTTTCTCCGTTCATTCACGATTACCCCTCCGCCTCGCACACTGTTCACCCCGAAATTCCCCCATCTTCCCACCGACAAAGACTTCACTCCCCATCCTCCCCCCGCCCCCCAAAAAAAACACTGAACTCTCCTGAAAGACTTTCAAACCCGTTAACCAATGGAGTTCAAACTGAGCCTACGTTATATATCCGTTAAAAAAATCTATCGACCTCGTTCGTTTTTTGGGGGCGTTGGCAAAGCGCATCCACCCGCCATCATCTCTTCCACGTTGCCCTCTCCCCTATTTTTTCACCTACATATCCTTCTTCCTCCCCCCACCCCCACCCTTCACTCTCCCCACCCTAAAAAAATCAACCAAACTTCTCCGGATTTTCAAACATTTGTACCGCTCGCGCCCAAAAAAATGTTTTCTGAAGAAAAAAAAAAGATTTTCGCGATCGGGCGGAGGGGGTCACCTCTCCAGGATCGGCAGGTGGCAGCAGAAGAGGCGGCAAAACCCGTGCGGTCGCGGGGGTCGGGGGGGTAAGTGGAAATAACCCAACTCCAATCGCTCAGATATCCCACTCTCGGCACAAGCAAAATCCAGGAGCCCCCCCCCCCCCCC